TATAAGTTTTTTGTATGTTTGCATGGTGATAAAATATAATAGGTTTTGTTTGTGGAAACACCACGTAAATTTATTACTGCAAAGCTTTCGATCCGTAAGCCCGGATCTTCATCAGTGCTAATAATATGTGACTTGTTTAATTCACACGCTCTTTTTATATACAAGAGTGACGTGATCTGTTGGCTCGCGTCATTTGAAATTTAATTAAACGGCAAGCCAACAATTATGACGCGAGCCAACAGATCACGTCACTCTTGTATATAAAAAGAGCGTGTGAATTAAACAGTGAACTCTCTATATATATATATATATATATATATATATATATATATATATATATATATATATATATATATATATATATATATATATATATATATATATATATATATATATAGTATATATATATATATATATATATATATATATATATATATATATATATATATATATATATATATATATATATATATATATATATATATATATACATTTGCGAGTAAGGCTCTATTTGAGCATGATGCTGGGATCTTATTTTTATCATAATAACGCGCTTTTCGCCCAGGGACCGCGGAGCCTGTTTAAAAGTGGGGGCAGGGTAGCACGGGAGCTATTTCACGCAAGCAGGCTGGGTTTTATCCGGTATTTTTTTATTATCCACCGAAAAAGTGGGGGGCATGGCCCCCCCCCCGACACCCCCCTGTTCCGCGGTCCGTGTAAATGTATATGTTACGAATATTTATATGTACGAAATAAATCTACGACTGTACTATAAGCAAACCAATATACTGACGAGCGATTTTACGGGCGGAAAGCGCATTATTATGATAAAAATAAGATCCCAGCATCATGCATGCTCAAATAGAGCCTTACTCGCAAATGTATATATATATATAAACGTATTACAGGTCCAGCTTTCAATTTACGCCCGCAGGGGTTGACGGGAAGTAAGGCATCATATTGCTGATTATGCTGAAAAATTGCAATAAAAACTGCCGAAACAACCGAAATATTTCAATATTTACAAGAATAGTAATATTGCGCAGTGCACGTTAACAGTAAAATTACAAAGACAATTAAGGGTTGTGAATAAGTTTAAGTTAATATTATAACTATATTAGAAGGTATTAAATTATAAAGTAGACATAAACAAGGAAGTGCATGAGAGTGGGGGCGGGAATATAGAGCAAGTAGGAAAAGAAGGATAGAACTACCTTGCTTGTTCAAGGGAAGTTTGAACTTGGAAACTGTAAAAGACTTTCGCGAGTTTGAAGTTCATCACAGTTGGCGCAGGATGAAAGAATTTTGAAGTAATCAATGGAAGCTGTTTGGCCAGTTCATGCATGGTATTGAGGCGCTAAAGAACTCTTGTGAGTGTGGGATGACTGTCCTCGTTGCCTGTTTTAAGAGTTTTTCCTTAAGAGACGGCAACACCCAGTAAGTGTTCCGACTGACGATACTCGGTTGTGCAAATGACGGACAGTTTGATCCAACATATCACATACTCGAACTCATCAACAACCTAAGCTAGCCCGGTCCTAAGAAAAGATGAAAGGATTGCTGCTGTCAAACCTGACAAGGGCAATGTAGTTGTCCGGCATATTGGAAAAACTGTCTACAACAAGAAAATTTCGGACCGCAGTAATTGGCCTCAAGCTTTCGAGGTTTCCCACCGTGTTTGGTGAAGCTTCTAAATAAAAAAATAAAAAACATTTTCGAACGACTGACTGATGATCTCTTTACTCCTGTATATCAAATATACTCATATAACACTAGACTTTCATCAAATCTTTGTTTTTCTTTGCCGAAAATAAGAACAAATTTTGGATTATTTAAGGTGGCTCAATACAGTTTTCAAAAATTCAGGTGTTCAACACTTTGACATGTTCAAACTACGCATTTTTAGGATTTATTCAGCAGATATTGGGGTTTTTATATATTTTGATAACTCTACTTTCAAATTATATTAGTTTTAGTAACAGATAGTTCGTTGCTATGACGACATACGTGTACGAAATTCACTCCGAAATGGTCTATCGCCTCGTATACTTGGAAATGTGCATTATTTTACTTGGACGAAAAGCTAACATTTAGCAAAATATAAAAAAATTCTGTAATGCCATTTTTTTGGAAAATGCGAAAATGTCATATTCGTCGGTAAAATATTTTTGACATTACAGAATTTTTTTATTTTTTGTATAATGAAAGTTTTTAGCGGTGCAATACAGCATGCAAAACTTGAACATAGGTCACCAGACAAAATAAAGAGATATAGCGCATTGTTTTTCTAAAATGGAAAATTCTAATGACATCAGCAATTGACATAAAACGCTATAGAACACGCGCAATGGCGTGATATGGCGCGACCAACTGCTCACGTCAGGTCATTTTGGAAGTTCTTTTCATTTTGTTAATCAGTTTCCGCGATCTGCGCGTAAAAATGGTCACCCGGCCGTTTTGAGTTTGCGATTCTTGGGCAGGGTTCTTGTGATAACTATATCGAGCCACCTTAATATAAGATATCAGGGAGTAAAAGCATAGAATGTGCTGAGTGAAGCTGATAAACAGATGACATTTTTACCGACTTAAGAGAAAAATTAAAGCTGCTTTTATTAATCAGTATTAATTTTTTTTTATCCCTAAAAATGATTGTCTTTTCTTTTCATTTCTCATTTTTCTTTACTCGAATTCTTTAAAAAATCGTAATTATTGATTAAATTAATTGTGCTACTCGGCCCCCATGCAGTAGTTAGCCTTTTGGTTATTTTTGGGTGTCAGCTCCTTTATTTTAAATATATATAACTAACATTAATAGATAAAAAAAGGAATAATGTAAAACAAAAAAATGTAATTGTGTGATTATTATGGAGCAATAAATTGTCTTGTCTTGTAAATTGTCTTGTCTTGTCTTCATGACCTGCATGAACTTTCTAAAATCCATAAAAAAGCAATGTTCCACTTAGGCTAATTCTTTATCCCTCTTCTAAGTCCAGTATCGTTTGACACGTACTTGCATGATCAAAGATTATTTTTCCTCTCGTTCCAAGAACTGTTTTAAGCTTATAATCTGCTTAATTCTTCTAACTTGGTCATGACCTTTACTAACATCCCGATCGACGAAAATATTGACATAATGACTAACCGCATATTTTCCAACGCTGCTTGCTTTCACGGGCACATCGAGTCACCGACACACCTTTCACTTTTCAAGATCATATTCCCATGGTCAATTCCGTGTCATATGTTGGATCAAACTGTCCGTCATTTGCACAACCGAGTATCGTCAGTCGGAACACTTACTGGGTGTTGCCGTCTCTTAAGGAAAAACTCTTAAAACAGGCAACGAGGACAGTCATCCCACATTCACAAGAGTTCTTTAGCGCCTCAATACCATGCATGAACTGACCAAACAGCTTCCATTGATTACTTCAAAATTCTTTCATCCTGCGCCAACTGTGATGAACTTCAAACTCGCGAAAGTCTTTTACAGTTTCCAAGTTCAAACTTCCCTTGAACAAGCAAGGTAGTTCTGTCCCTCTTTTCCTACTTGCTCTATATTCCCGCCCCCACTCTCATGCACTTCCTTGTTTATGTCTACTGTATAATTTAATACCTTCTAATATAGTTATAATATTAACTTAAACTTATTCACAACCCTTAATTGTCTTTGTAATTTTACTGTTAACGTGCACTGCACAACAGGCAATTCCAGCTTTTAGTTTATGGGTGCAGCAGGG